AGAAAAACCTTGGTCATCTTTCCCATCGACAGACTGTAGCCATGTTTTCGAATTCCTCATTTTCCCACCCAAAATTAGCATTTTCCCATTCTCTAGCCTTTTCTCCGCCTCAAGCTTCATTTTCCAAACATTCGGCTTTTATGATCAACCGTTAGCTGTTCCGCACAAATAAATTGCGATAAATATATCTGAAATTATTTTTATAATCGTATTTCTTTCTTAGATAAAGCATTTTAAATGCCACGAGAATTACATTTAATGAATTTGAAGGCCAATTAAAAATAAGAAAATAAAAAAATAACAATTTAATGACTTTTTAATTTTTAATGACCCGCTGACTGACTGACTTACGATAATTGTTTTCTACTTTCTGCTACTTTAGATTGCAGACGAAACGTAAAATAATCACAAATATAGATAAAATGTTGAGAATCCAAAAGAGATTTGATCTTTCAGAAACGGGTGCAATACGTTTTATCCGAGTGGTGTTGCCATATGTTGATGTCATAAGAAGGGGCGGGGCCCCGAGCAGATCGGGGACCTACACCTGAAGATGTCAGGAGGGAGGTGTTACTATATTTGGAGAAAAATGGCCTCTCCTAGACTCAGTGATCACAACGAAAATGATTAAAATTTGTTTACTGATAAATGCTAATTATAAGTTAATCATTAAATCGCCGCGAACGTATTAGTTTTAGGTATAAACAATGATCCAATGATTATTCCTTGCTGACCGGACTTTTCCTTTAAGTGATTAGGGCAACTGAAAGGAAAAAAAGTTAACTGATTAAAAAAAATAATAATATTTGAGTTTAATTTGGCAAAAGTCTGAATTCTAACCTTTTTTTCCCAATTTATTAATCCAATTTCAGCTAATATTTCATGAATCACCAGGCAAATTTCAATAGTTATTTATACAGCTTTATTAAATGTTATTTCAGCGTGAACATGGTAATAGTGAACAAGATCTATAGTAGGTTACAGGAAAGGACAAGAGAAAAAAGGGTTTAGAGGCCCTTACTCAGCAACCCTGGAAGGCTGCTCTATGTTGTACCTAAAAACAGCAATACTATATTTCTACATGAGGTCCTACAGAGGAAGTGAAGGAAGATGAACAGCAGGCGTAGAAGAAGAAATCTCGGGTTGTCCATCCCAGACTAGAAGGTTTGTGGGAAACTAGAGCGGTTTCTCTCTAGGAGGATGGAGCAGCGCTGGTCTTGTCATCGCGGGTGACGGGGATGCTGCGATCACCCCGACCAGATTCACTCCCTCCGGACACCTTTGGACCAGTCAGAGTCAGCAGACCGTCAGCTGACAGGGTACAGGTGATGGCTGATTGGTCGACGGCGGAGGGCAGACGGTACCGGCGATGGAACTCGCGAGAGATGTAACCATGGTCATCCTGAAAAACAAAGTGGTTGTTGCCATGAAGAATGCATCAGGTTTTACGAAGGCATTTCCTTAACTTTTCTAGCCAGAGGACTTCCCTTTAGACCAGGATGGTCTGTTATTGAACAGAATNAATTGGGGGAAAAGTTAAAACAATTAAATGCGGTCTGTTTAACATAAGATCTTTCCTCTAAAAGTCTGCTAGTTAATGACCTGATTTGTGATAATTACATTGACTTGTGTTGCCTTACAGAAACCTGGCTGCTGCAAGAAGATTATGTGAGCATAAATGAGGCAACTCCTTCAAGCTACTTAAATTTTCACATACCCAGAAGTTCTGGGTGAGGAGGAGGAGTAGCAACAATCTTTTTGGGGGCAAAGGCAGTTAATAATTACAACTCTTTAACATTTAACCCTTAATTTCCCTCATCCAAAGTGCAAAGCAAGAAAACTTCTTTTTTTAACCTTGTATTGTCCACCAGGTCCTTACTCTGAAATTTTAGATGAGTTTTCAGAGTTCCTCTCTCATTTGCTATTAAATACTGACAGGGTCATCATAGTGGGAGATTTTAACATCCATGCTGACATTGAAGGCGATAGCTTAAGAGCAGCCTTCAATGCTACCTTAGACACTATTGGCTTTGTTCAAAATGTGAATAGTCCCACACATTCTCATCTTCATACTTTGGATC